TAAGTGATTTATTATGTTAAATATCATTATTATTTATAATATATCTATCTCATAAGTGAGATTTAAGATATAACAGTGAAATAACACAATAAATGCTAGAAAATATTATTTAGTGATTACTCACTTTGGAATATTTTCCATTATCAAAATACTTTTCAATCCATTTTTTTAAAGTATTTTGAATAATATCATTATCGACATCAACACCATCATGCAAATGAGAAATAATATTTCTTTCAATTATATTATCTTTATCAGAGACATTTTATTATGTTGATTCAAATGAAATAACTTTAGTATTTATACCTACAAGATATTAATAAATATTATCAAATAAATAATAATAACAAAAATTTAATTTGATTTTTTCTTCGTATTTGTATTATTACCTAAAACACCAATATTTTTAATGATATTTTCTTGATCGATATGAATTATCCAAAGAGTTCTTCCATAATTAATTTCACAAATAAAATTTGCCCCAACACCCAATTCGTAACATTTAATATTATTAATATATTTAAATGGTCTATATATATCAGATAAATATAATTCACATACAATTTCGAGTGTATTTAAAATAACATTATATTTTTGAATATAAACATAAATTTTACGATTATCAATATCAGATAAAAAAACAATTTCTAAATCATTTAAAAAAGGATCATTGAAATTTATTGTTAAATCCATTATTAAAAATATAATTTTTTTATTTTGTTAATTTAACCTTTCTTTTATACCTGTCATATTAATAAATATTATCAAATAAATAAAAATAACAAAGATTTGATCTGATTAATTTTTTTACTTCATATTAATTATCTAAAATAACAATATTTTGAATAATATTTTCTTGATCGATATAAATTATCCAAAGACTTCTTCCATTAATTTCACAAATAAAATTTACCCCAACTCCCATTTCATAACATTTAATATTATTAATATATTTAAATGGTCTTCGTATATTATTATATAAATTTAATACACATACAATTTCAGGTGTATTCAAAATAATATTATATTTTTGAATATAAACATAAATTTTATGATTATCCATAGAAGATAAAAAAATAATTTCTAAATCATTAAAAAAAGAATTATTAGAATTTATTGTTAAATCCATTATTAATATTCTTTGAATATAATTTTTATTATGAAAATGTTAATTTAACTTTCCTATTTATACCTATAACATATTAATAAATATTATCAAATAAACAAAAAAAAATTAAATTTATTTCATTACTTGAATAATTTTAAAACTTCAGGAGAAACACTAGGATTTGATTCTAATAATAATTTAACTGCATTTTCCAATTTCGCAATTTTATCATCCTTTTGTTTATCTTTTTCTATCATTTCCTGTTCTTGATGAATTTTTTTAGTTTTAGAATTAATAACCACATCAAGAGATCTTTTTTTAAATGCATCCCAATATTTTCTCTTTAATGAACGCTCTGAACTTCCATCTAATGGAATAACTGTTTCAAGATTTTTTCTAATATTTTCTTGCCATTTTCTTGTAATATCTAATATTGTTTCACGACTTAAAGGATCAAGCATTTTAAATGATTCTAATTGAATTTTTGAAGTTTCCTCAAAAAATTCTTTAGTATAAATTGGAATTTCATCAGTTTCTTTTTTATTATCAGATTGATTAGAAATTTTGATTTCGGAGACATTTTCATTCTTATCATCAGATGACATTTTTATTTTTATTTATTTAACCTTAACAATAAGAATGTTTTATTTATAATTTTTTTATTAAAAACAAATTACAAATTCCTTACTTTAACTATACCAATATAATTTATAAAAATAAAATAATTGATTTATTTGAATAAAGTAAATAATATTATATAAAAAAAAAAAATAATTTATAAAAAGTATATATATATATATATATTAATTATCAACTAAACTAAGATCTGATTTAACACCGATACACCAATTCTCTTTGATAAACTCTTCATTATCCAAAAAATCAAGAGAATTATCAATCCTTTTGTATTCAGGATAAATTTTTGAAACCATATTTTTATACAAATCAAAAAGATTTTCACAATATTCAATATTCATTTTCTTTTCACAATCTCTATTTCTATATTCAACTCTTTCTTTAAGAATGTTAAAATCATCCACATCAATATAATAAACTAAATCTGGTTTAAATTCAATACAATTCAATTTTTTTTCTAAATAAGGAATATATTTTTCTTTACCAAAATCACTTTTAATAGCTAATGTAGAAAAAAAATTAACATCCAAATATGACCGATCAAGAATAACAATATCGTACATCCAATATGTGATACTATTCATATATTTTTGGTATTCTTGAATAATTTTATCTTGATACCAAAAGACAATTGATTCATCTTTTGGATTATTATTTAGCGCCTCATAATAAAGATTAAGTTCTTCTTCGATCAACAAGGAAACTTCTTTTCCAAGTAAAACTCGTTTTCCTTCTTTTTCAAAATTTTGAAGTAAACTTTGTGCAAATTGAGTTTTACCAGCACCAATCGTTCCCGTAATCACAATCTTTTTACATTTTTTATTTTGAAAAATTATCAAAAAGTATAAAGATAGAAAAAGAATAAGGAGAACAGATAAATTAGACGTAAATGTTTCTTGATAGAAAAAAAGGTTTTTAAAAATAAAAAACTGAACATTAATGATCAAAAAGATTATTAAATAAAAAAGATTAAATGTGTTTAAAAAACACTTCTTGTTATATGTCATCAAAAAAGAATAAATAAAAAAAAAGATGAAAAAACCAATAATAATTAAAAGAAATAAAAAATTATAAAGATAAAGTATTTTTAAAAAACTCAGATCCTTATATATTGTCAAAAATAACTCAAAATAATGAAGAATACATAAATCAATAATGATGAAATAGATTAAATAAATAAGATTTAATGTATACATCTTGTTATATTTTATCAAAATAAACTGAAAAAAAAATAAAAAATAAAACACGAATATTTTATAATCATAACATTATTAATAAGTTTCAAAATTCAGTAAAAATGGATCAATATAATTAATAATTTCATTAACCGTATTTCTAATTTTACCATTATTTTCAATTAATATAGCATCAGGATAAATATTTAAAAAATTATTTTCATAACATTGTCTAATTTCTTCGGTTTGCTTTAATGTGAATACATTTTTTCTACGTGAATTGAAATTATACTTTAATTTCTTATCTGAGCATGTGATAAAAAATACCAACATCTGAGTATTAATCAATCTTGGCATTCGTTCTTTCATAATAACCTTCCCATCAAACCCATAAATTTGTTTATAAATATCCCCATCAAAAACTTCTCTATCAACAATTACAAATCGTTTAAAATTAATTTCTTTTGCTAATTCAATACGACGATTATGATATCTATTTAACAATCCATATTCAAAAGCTTCAATATTTTTCTCTTTTAAATTTAATAAATATTCATCTCCTTTCAATATTGATTCATTTACAATACATACTTCAAATCCTCTATCTTCTATATATTCTCCTATTTGTTTTATTATTGTAGATTTACCAACACAAGTAGCCCCCGAAAAAACAATATAATACGGTATCACACTCTCAAGAATCCTTTGTTTAAAAAATTCCATACTTGGTGTTAAAGGATATTCGTAAAATTTATTGGTAAAAAACCATTCTTCGTGTTTATCAGGTTCATTTAACCGAACTTGATTCACATCATCAACTAGGAATTTATAAACATAAACTTCATAATCCTGCTTTTTGAAAACCCCAATTAAGCTTAATCCGTATTTAATTTTTAGACCTGTTTCTTCATACAATTCTCGTTTAACCGCATTCTCCATTGTGATATCTGATAACTCGAATTTTCCACCAGGAGAACAATATTTACCATGGTGAAATTTGCTTTTTCTTTTACTAATCAAAATCCTCCCATCTTGAGTATAAGGAATAACTAATACGTACGATTGGTATTTTTTTTTGAATAAATAAACATGTAAAAATTTCAAAATAATCAAAATTAAAAAAATAATAATATAATAAAATTCCATTTTATTTAATCAATCATAATATATCAAAATACGAAATTCTTTTATAAAATTTTAAATTATTAATTAAAAACTATCTCATCGGTATCCTCATTAATATTTCCTTCAATAACATCAAAATTAACTTTTAACAAATAATTTCTATCTTGATTACAAGTAAAAAATATATTTCGTTTTAAACTAACTTCTTCCTCATAATCATAATTGATATCCAAACCATTCAAAATTAATTTAATATCAAAATTATCATCTTTAAACGTCAGCAAAAACGATCCAGATTTTTGTTTTAAAAATTTCATCACCATTTCTCTAAATCTATAATATGAATATAGATCTTTAAAAAAAATATTTGTAATTGTTAAACAAAAAAAATTTTCACTAGTTGAGTTTTTAAGATAATATTGACTATCTTTTTCATGAATATTTTTAATAATCTTGGAATATCTATCTAATAATTTATAAAAACTATCCTTTCCTTTTTCAAAAGAATATTTTCTCTGAGTTGAATTAATAATAACATCAAATCTACTAACAAATTTTGAAGTTATTTTTAATATTGAATCACAATTAGGAAATGCATAATAAACAAATTTATATCCTTTCGTTTGAGTCGATTGAAAATTTATATTTTTAGGAATTTCTTTAAATTTTACTTTATATAGAAAATCTTCTGATTGTAACATCAATTTAATAGAATTTCTATCAGAAAAATATTGTAAAAGATATTCAGTAAATACAGATTGAAAATTATTTTCACTGAATTTTCCGAAAGAAAATATATATAACGGTTTATAATAAACAGAATCGATTGACTTATTTAAAATAATATTTAATTCTTTTCGCGTAACAAGACATGACATTTTATTAATAGCAGCATATATGAAAATATCTTTTAATGTCCAATTTTTTAATAAATAAAATGAATAAATCATCTCATTTAATTCTGGAAGATTAAAAGGTGATAACGTAGTATTTTCCATATTTATTTATTTAAATTGAAATAAAAGATAGATTTTCGGTATTTATATTATTAATCTAATTATTAATATAAATAATAATAAAAATTAAATTTTTTCTTTTTAAACATACATGAATCAAAAAAAATTCTCATTTCCAATTGAAATCATTCTATCAATCCTAGAATATAATAAAAATGAAAAAAATAATTTGGTTAATTATATTTGTCTCAATAATTTTTTTTTCACTATTTTATCAAAGAACTTTGGAAAAATAAAGAAATTGAACAAAATATAATACCAATAATATTAAATCTCACATTAAAACCATTTCAAATCAAAAAATATTTTCCAAATATAAACATATTTAAACCTAGTATTAACTACCTTAAATTTATTAATATCAATAATAAAAAATTGATTAGTGAAATTTTAAAAATTATTAATAAAAAATATATAGATATGATAATACCAATTTCAAATATAATTATTAATAAAATGCAAAATTAGTAATTTATTATTAATAAATACAATTTCTAAAAATATAAAAAAACAAATAAATTTTTTTATCAATAATCACCAACAAAATGGATGATGAAAAATTTTATACAGAAATTTGTCTTGCAATTAAAAAAATTATTAAAGACAAGGACAAAAAAACAAATTATTATGCTAAAAAAAATAACTCATTCAAATTTACCTTTAAATATGACAATAATTTAAATAAAAATTGTGATAATATTACAATTATTCAATTATCATCTACTCCAAGTAATGACTACATGTTGGAACCAACAAATGAATTATTTGTCTTTTCTAAAAATATATCAGATCCTTTATTATTCAATCAAGGAGGAACTAAATTTCTAGCCAATGAGTTAATAGAACTTTTAAAAACTAAATTACTTGTTAACAATAATTTAGTTAAAGAAAATATTAAAAATTCTTGTGAAGTTCGATTTATAATTAATCATAATACAAAAACTGGTACTATTAAACAATATCTTGGAATTCAAAAAATCGTTACTCTTGCATCTGTTCAAATCTTTCCATTAGATAAAGAAAAAAAAAATGAAAGAAATTTAAGCAGAATTGTTAATTCAATGAACAATTTAAAACTTGATCCAGCAGAATCACAAGAATATGATGCTGTAAAACTCTATAAAAAAATAGAAAATCTTTTTAATGACACTTTTGTTTATTTTGATAAATTATCTCTTGGGAACAATGAAAAAGCAGATTTGAAAAAAACTCTTCATAATGTGTTAAAATTTATTCGAAAACAAACTTGTAACGATAATGCTGTTTATACAAAATTATACGATAAAGATGAAAAAGATGGTAAAGAAAATAATATTATTGGAGTTAAAACTGAAAAAATGGAAGAAGATGAAGATTTATAATTTTATTTATATTTATTAGATTTATATTTTAATTTAAACATTTCTTGTTTTTCATATGTGAAACCTATATTATTTAAATATTCTTTTATATTTTCATATTCATATTTAAAATATTTTAATAAATTTAACATATATTTTTGGTTCGAATAAATAAATGCCTTGGTTAAACCACAATTTTCCATATCTTGTATTAAATTTTGTTCAATAGTCCCATCAATATCATCACGTTTTAAATTTGGAAATGATTTTGCATATTCTAATGTAATAATCTTTTCAGGAACATCACATAATAACATAATTAACATGCAAATAATACCAGTACGATCTTTACCATGTTTACAATTAATAATCACAGAATATCTATTAACATCAACATTCAATAAATATTCAAATACTAATAAAATTTCTCTTTGACACCCATCCAAAAATGACATGTACATTTGAACAACTCCTCTTGACCCAATTGATTTAGTTAAAAAATATTTCTTTTCCTTTTCGAAAAAATTCAAGTAATATTTCAGTTTTTCTTCATTGGTTAAAATTTTAAAATACGCATCGTATAATGATCTATTTAACATATTAATAAAATAAGTATCATTGAATAATTTACATATTCCACAAAAATTTTCTTTTACAGAACTTCCACGCAGATCAATAACCATAATCTCTTTACATGGTTTTCCAATTAATTTTTCTAATATCAATAATTCTTGTTTACTAATTTTATCAAATTCATTTGATCGGAAAATATTTTTAACGCCAGAAACGTCGCGTAAATTATTTAACATTTTTCCGATGGTCTTAATATAAAATTCTTGTTATTTATATATTTTAATTATTAATAACTTTTAATAAATACAAATGTTGAAAAAAAAACAAAATTAAAAAAAAATGGCAAAATATACTAAAATTTCTTGCAAAGAATGCTCTATTATAAAGAAAAAATGTGAAGACGAAAAACCATGTTCATTCTGTAAAAAAAATAATTACAAATGTGAATTAAATACTCATAAAAAAAGAGGTCCAAAACCATCTAAACATAAAAAAATTAAGAAAAAAATGAATATCGTATATTTACTCAATTAATAACTCTTCTTATTATATTTCCAAACATATCTCTAACTCGTAATCTTCCTTGCCATACATTTTGGTTATCATCTAAATTTATTTGTTGTGCATCTAATTGATTATCAATTACTTCTATATCCCTATCTAACTGTGGAATATTATGTAAATCTCTCTGTTTCGCTGCTATTCTTTCTTGTCTTCTTTGTGCTGCTAATTCCATACGTTCTTTTCCACGTCTCTCGATATTCAATCTATGATTTTGTCTTATTCTATCATATTCTAATATTTGATTTCTATACACTCGAACATATGGAAAATTTAAATCTAAATTACACATAACACAACGTGCTGCTACACCATCTCTATCATACCATCTAGTTGCACAATGCATATGTGCCATATGTCTTTCATCAGGATTGTTACAAAGTTTCACTACTTCTGGATTATTATTCATGGGTTCCCTTAAAGGTGTATTACAAATAGAACATCTTGTAAAATCTTGCATATCTATATTTTCGTCTTCATTTTGTTGTTGTTGTAGTTGTGGTTGTTTTCCAATAACTATTTGTTGTATATTATTAATTACCTCCACACCCTCCCTTATTTGTGGAGGATTATCTATATTTCTTTCTCTTTCTTTCATTCATCTTCTAGCTTGTTCCATATTCAATCTCTGATCTCGATTTCGTCTTATTAATTGTAATATATGATCTCTTCCTACTGGATGACGTAAAAGAGGTCCGAAACACATTATACAAGTTTGTGCAATATTAGGTCTATCATACCATAAATTCGCACAACCTTCATGTATGTAATGAGGCACATGTTGATTATTACATAACTGTATAACATTATCACCTTGATGTAATGGTGTATGACAAATAATACAAATTAAAAAATCTTGTTGATCGAATTCTTCTTGTCCTTCATCATCAATAACTATCTGTTGTGGTATTCGATTATCATTTACTTGAATTTCTCTATATCTTTGTAAAGCTACCGCATCCGGTCTCAATATATTTTCTGGTACTACATTTCTCTATAATTCATTAGGTTGTAATGGTACACGACATATAGGACAAGTGATCGCACGTCGACTCCATCAATCAATACAACGAAAATGAAATATGTGATTATTTTGACATGGTATAACCACATCGTCTAAATTTTCAATATCAAATACTGTTAAACATATAGAACATATTTCTTCTTGTACATTTATTTCTAATGCTCCTCTATCTATTTGTGGTTCTACTATAGGTATAGGTATTGGTATTTGACGAGGTATTGGTATTTTTGGTTGAATTATAATTTGTTTAGCTTGATCACCAATTATCTGATCATCTCTTATTTGATCTTCTCTTACCACATTTGGTTTCTGTTTTATTGGTAATTGTTTTATTGGTATTTGTTTTATCTGTGGTATATTTTGTTGATTTTGTTTAAGTCCTCCTCCTTTAGGTCTCGCAGGTACTTGCATTTGTTTTGGTCTTCTTTGAATAACTGGTGTATAAGTTTTTGGTCTTGATCCGAAATATCCGCTTCGATCTATATTCATACGTAAAATTAACTCTCGAATAACCATCGGATGAACACATGGTCTTGCACAACTTGATGTTGCATGATTACCACCACAACATTGACAAATATATCTCTGTTTAACATCACTCACAAGATATAAAATAATCAATAATAAAATTAAATAAATTTTTATTTTTGTTCCCATTATTAAATCAGTTAACAAAATTTGATTTATTTATATTTATATTATTAATTTAATTATTAATTAATTCAATTATAAAACATCAACATATTTAATACTCAAATAAAAATAAAATGAATGAATTTGAAGAAACGAAAACTTATACATTTGAATATAACACCGAAAACTTTGGTGTAATTTCTGGAGAAATTTTTGAAAATGAATTATTTCTTTATCTAAAAAGAAATAATTTACATCCAAAGAAATTCACATTTTACCAATTCAACGGTGGAAAATTATTACACAGTTCCAAACATAAGCAAAATGAAAAATTATCTCTTCGATTTGGCAAAATACAAATGATGTACAATGATAATCTTAAAATCACGGAAGATGGAACTATTGAAAATATAGATTTTTATAGATTGGGGAAATTTCACATTATTGGTGATGATGGTATCGATATCTCGTGTGAGTGGAACGGATACCCGTTATACATTCAAGCAAAATTTCGAAATCTATGCACCACTTGTAAAAATAAAAATATTAAATCTTGTGAACACAATTACT